ACATGTAGTTATCTTAATTTGATTCTTTCTGTAACCCCATCAATAATTTACTGTGTTCAAGAATTTATGCTTAGTTTAATAGTAAAGTCTGATCTGTATGGTATAATTTAATTCTTATGTTCTGAATCTGAACTACTGACTTCTTGTATACTGCTTTTAACTCATGCCTAAAAGCCTCTACTGAGATTCTTTATTTTCTTAAAGATAGGCAAGATAGATAGGTATCTGCCTGCTTAAGACTTCATTTAAATCCTTTGGTGAGGTTGATAATTTAGTAGGTGTTTATCATAAAGTCATTTAGTGACTTAAAAATAATTACTTGAAGTATTTATAAAATTAAGTATTATGAGTCTCTTTTGATATTTAAAATTTTATAAGAATACTTGCTTTAAAAAAACAGAAATGTGCTGTATGGCAAATGTTTGGCATTATTATTCACAATGGCCAAAAAGTACAAACAGTGCAGTTAATGAATAAACCAAATATGGTATATCCATGCAGTGGGATAGTATTCAGCATTAAAAAGAATGAAGTACTGATATGTGCTACAACATGTATGAACCTCAAAACATTATTAAGTAAAAGAAGCCAGACAGGAAATTATTACATACTGTATGAATCCATTTATATGAAATTTTTTAAAAGGCAAATACATTGAGGGGGTGTGTTTTTCTACACACACATAGAGAGACACACACACATTATACACAGCAGTAATACTATAACTTTGTGTTCCTGGACCCAATTCCAACATGTGTAAGTATGTGGAAGGGGGTCTTCCCACACATAACACCAAGTGACTTTGAAATACCAGCAGGGTGTGGGAAACTCCACTCAGTTCTGATGCTGTCTGGCCAGATACAGCACCAGATCCCCCATGTCAAGGGCTCCATCCTACAGACTCTGTCCCACTGCAGACACCGGTCACAAGGCCCAGGCAGTTAAGCTGTGCATCTGACCTACCAGCTACAAACTGAAGATTCCCACTACCTCCCCCTTGGGTTTGATTAAGTTGCTAGAGCAGCTCACAGAACTCAGGAAAACATTTAGGTTTACCAGGTTAAAAAAGGATACAAATTAACAGCCAGAGGAAGAGATACATAGAGCAAGGTCCCAAATAAAGGAACTTCTGTCCTTGTGGAGCTTGGGGCCTGGCTCAATGGCATGTGGAGGCGTTCTGGTTCCCCAAGGATAGAAGCCCTCTCAGACTGAGAAGCAGGATCCAAGAGAGCAGAGAGCTGATAAGCTCTTCTGGGGGCTTTTGTGAGGGCTTCATTGCACAGTCATTATTGACTGAATTATTGGCCACTGGCTGATTCAGCCTCCAGCCCCTGCCCTTGGGTGGGGGTCCAAAAGTCTCATTAACATAACAAAAACACCCATTTCACATTTAAGACTGTAGTGTTTTCAGGAACTGTGAGTAAAGACCAGTATACCTGGGAAATACATATTTGGTCACTCACGACCAAATATGTATTTCTTATTACTCATTGTATTGCATATACAGAAACAAAAAATATACTAGTGGTTGCCTGGGGTAAGGGATGAGGACGAGAATTAACCTACTGTAAATTGGCTTGAGGGGTCTTTGAGGTGGCAAAGATGTCCTAAAACTAGATCATGGTAATGGTTTCACACTTGGTAAATTTATCAAAAAAAGCTATTAAACTATATACACTTAGAATCGGTAAACTTTTCGGTGTATAAAATTGTACCTCAGTAGTTATTTTAAAAATGGTGATGCTAATTATAGAAAGAGAATCTAATTAGAAATAAGGATACTTGATTTGATAAATTAAAGACATAAACCTACCATGCACTCAGCATTCTATCAGATACTTTGAAAGATGCAAAAGTACAAGAAAGTTTTAAGAGCTGGCACCCAAGCTGTAGGCAGTATGGCCAAAATATTTTCCAGGGTGTTAATAAAGTACTGAGATAGAGCAAATACCACTTCCTATCCTGTACCTAAAGCAGGTGCTTTTTCTCACAGACCTGTACCACAGCCTCACACAGATCACCCTTCCCAAAATTATATTGCTTTCCACAATGGTTGACCTAGCTCACATTCCCACAAGGTGAAGCATGTCTTACTAGGTTAAATCCCACAGACTGCCCTAGCCAGGTCACCAATTCTAACTGAAGACAAAGCCACTTGAGACTTCTTCAGCACCAGTAACAGATTAAGAGACTTTTAGACAGTGGTTGACACTAAAGAGTGGCAAATTTTTTTAATTCGTCAAGAGATTTTGAGTCATGGATGAGACACTATGAAGTGAAGAGCACTGTTAGTAGGAACTGAGCCTTGTAGTTTAGTTAAGACTCCCTTCCAGGGAGAATTTTGACCTTTGCAGGATAACATCCTCTGCTTTCTTAATGCGAGGGCTAAAACTCAACAATCTTCCAGTACTCCCAGGGACTTGTGATAGCATGAATAAGAAATGAAAGGAGACCTCTCCTTCACTTCAGAATCTCAGTTTGGGACCCAAATATCTAAACAAGCCACCTAGAGGCATTTCTACTTCCAGTCAAGATGGGACTGTTAAGGAACTAGATTTACCATCCCACCTGAAACAATGATTTTCAAGACACTGTTAATCAGAGAACAAAGGACAGTGATCCTGAGAGATGATAAATAATTTTCCTAGGTGTCTTAAGACGACAGTCCCTTCACCCCCACAAAAAAGCCAAACTCATAGTGACAGACAGTAGAATAGTGGTTACCAGAGGCTGGAGGGTGGGGGAAGAGGGGAGATATTGATCAAAGAGGATAGACTTTCAGCTATAAGATGAGTAAGTTCTGGAGACCTAATACATATCATGGTAACTATAGTTAATAATAGCATACACCTGAAATAAAAACAATAGAAAACATTAATGATAGTTGCCAGGTCATGGTGCAGAGACAAACATTCCCTACGTTGAAGAGACAGAGCTAAGAGTCCAGAGAGATTGAGGCAGCTGGAGTTAATAGGAGAATATGAAATACAAGAGAGCTACAGAGAGGTCTGCAGGTGGGCACCTTGAGCATTCATCTGAGTATTGATAAGTGCATGCATGGGAGGAAATTACCGAAGTCTGAGGAAAGAATAATGTGAAAGGATTAGAGAGAGGTATACATGTTCCCACAAGCCAGATTGGAAAAATTTATGATTCATGTGGCATTGGGTAGAATATTCAGAAAGGTCTTCCCTCAGTGGGAGAGAATAATTACCCTAGACTGAGCACTTCTTCAGACCTGCCTAAAAAATCATAAAAGCAAGACCTGAACAAGTTATACTATTTCCAGCTAACAGCCTCCCAGAACAAAAGCTCAGGAAGATTTGTAGGAATATAAAAATACCAAGCAACTAATAAGAATATAAAAATATTGAGACAAGGTTAAACTCATAATGTCTGGCATATAAGCAAAGATAACAGGCAGCAAAGAAGGCAAATAGGACCAATGATGAGAATAATCAACCAAAACCAACCCAGAACTGACAACAGATGTTAGAATTAGCAAAGAAATACATCAAGACAAATATTGTAAATACATTACATATGTACAAAAAGTTAGATAGAACATGAAAGATATTTTTAAATACCCAAATCAAGCTTCTGGACATGAAAACAGCAGTGTCCAAGATGAGAGATATACTGGAGGGGATTAACAGCAATTAGATATGGCAGAAGAAAAGATGAGAGAACTTGAGGGCACAGTAATAGAAACTATTTAAAATGAAATAGAGAATATTGTCATTGAGCTATTATTGTACATCAAAGAGCAATCTTCACTGGTCTAACATATGAGTAATTGGAGTCCCTGAAAGAGAGGACAAGAAAAGGAGGGGAAGAAAAATCCTTGAAGAATTAACGGCCCAAATTTTTCAAAACTTGAAGAAAACTACAACCCACAAATCCAAGAAGCTCAATAAATCCATAGAAATAAGAATGAAGAAAACTACACCAAGGTACATCATAATCAAATTGCTCAACACCAGTGATGAAAGAGAAAATAAAAAAAGTAGTTGGGGGAAGAGGCATCAGGTTTCTCAACTGAATACAACATAACTGAGAAGACAGTGAAACAACAACTTTAAAGGACAGAAAAAAAGTATCAACATAGAATTCTGTGGCAAAAATATCTTTCAGAAATGAAGGCAAAATAACGATGTTTCAGACACCCACAGCACCTAAAAGAAACTCATCACTAACCAACCTGCACTACAAGAAATGCTCAGCAGGTTAAAAATGGTGATCAGTTCAAAATCTGGATCTATACAAAGGAATGAAGATCACTGGAAATGGTAACGACACTGATTAATATAAAAGGATTTTTTTCCTTATTTAAAACTGTCTAAAGATAATTGTATAAACAAAAATAATGATATGTTGTGGAGTTTACAGTATAATATGTAAAAGTAAAATGCATGGTAATAATAGTACAAAGGTTGAGAGGGGAGTAAATGTCAACTCTTATCAGGCTTTCTTGTTTATTGTCAATTTCCCCCCTCTTTGAATGAAAATCTGTGAGAACCTGTTTTACTCACTGTTTATTGTCCTTCCAGTATCTAGAACAGTTACATGTATAACTGAAACTCAAATACACATTGTTGAACAAAAGCTGACAAGGTATAGAGAAACAAGTGCTCTCATACACTGATATCAGTGTATCAAAAATTGTACAACTTTTTTGGAAACAGTTGTGTGTTATATAAAAGTCTCAGAATTGTGCTTGTCCTTTGGACCAACATTTCTCCTTCTACGTATTTATCATAAGGAAGTAATTAAGAATGTGTACAGAGATATATCTGGAAGACTTAGCCACAATGGAATGAAAGCTCTTGAACTGACATATTGGTAGGAAGGAATGTAGATCGTTTTTTGAAATGTGGTAACAAGAAGTGTTTTGCAGAGTTGTTTAAAGAGATCTTCCTTTCTTTCCTAATGCCTTAGCATTTTTAAATAGTCTCATTACTCGTTTTTCTGACCTACTTCTTTCTAAGCAAAACTAAAACAACAATACAATTTCCCCACAGGTCTCTTAATATGGACTTTGAAAATCAAGATAAGGAGAAAGACAATAACAATTCTTCTGGATCTTTCAATAGCAACAGCACCAATAATAGTAAGGCATTTTATGTTAACTTTCATACATGTAGTTATCTTAATTTGATTCTTTCTGTAACCCCATCAATAATTTACTGTGTTCAAGAATTTATGCTTAGTTTAATAGTAAAGTCTGATCTGTATGGTATAATTTAATTCTTATGTTCTGAATCTGAACTACTGACTTCTTGTATACTGCTTTTAACTCATGCCTAAAAGCCTCTACTGAGATTCTTTATTTTCTTAAAGATAGGCAAGATAGATAGGTATCTGCCTGCTTAAGACTTCATTTAAATCCTTTGGTGAGGTTGATAATTTAGTAGGTGTTTATCATAAAGTCATTTAGTGACTTAAAAATAATTACTTGAAGTATTTATAAAATTAAGTATTATGAGTCTCTTTTGATATTTAAAATTTTATAAGAATACTTGCTTTAAAAAAACAGAAATGTGCTGTATGGCAAATGTTTGGCATTATTATTCACAATGGCCAAAAAGTACAAACAGTGCAGTTAATGAATAAACCAAATATGGTATATCCATGCAGTGGGATAGTATTCAGCATTAAAAAGAATGAAGTACTGATATGTGCTACAACATGTATGAACCTCAAAACATTATTAAGTAAAAGAAGCCAGACAGGAAATTATTACATACTGTATGAATCCATTTATATGAAATTTTTTAAAAGGCAAATACATTGAGGGGGTGTGTTTTTCTACACACACATAGAGAGACACACACACATTATACACAGCAGTAATACTATAACTTTGTGTTCCTGGACCCAATTCCAACATGTGTAAGTATGTGGAAGGGGGTCTTCCCACACATAACACCAAGTGACTTTGAAATACCAGCAGGGTGTGGGAAACTCCACTCAGTTCTGATGCTGTCTGGCCAGATACAGCACCAGATCCCCCATGTCAAGGGCTCCATCCTACAGACTCTGTCCCACTGCAGACACCGGTCACAAGGCCCAGGCAGTTAAGCTGTGCATCTGACCTACCAGCTACAAACTGAAGATTCCCACTACCTCCCCCTTGGGTTTGATTAAGTTGCTAGAGCAGCTCACAGAACTCAGGAAAACATTTAGGTTTACCAGGTTAAAAAAGGATACAAATTAACAGCCAGAGGAAGAGATACATAGAGCAAGGTCCCAAATAAAGGAACTTCTGTCCTTGTGGAGCTTGGGGCCTGGCTCAATGGCATGTGGAGGCGTTCTGGTTCCCCAAGGATAGAAGCCCTCTCAGACTGAGAAGCAGGATCCAAGAGAGCAGAGAGCTGATAAGCTCTTCTGGGGGCTTTTGTGAGGGCTTCATTGCACAGTCATTATTGACTGAATTATTGGCCACTGGCTGATTCAGCCTCCAGCCCCTGCCCTTGGGTGGGGGTCCAAAAGTCTCATTAACATAACAAAAACACCCATTTCACATTTAAGACTGTAGTGTTTTCAGGAACTGTGAGTAAAGACCAGTATACCTGGGAAATACATATTTGGTCACTCACGACCAAATATGTATTTCTTATTACTCATTGTATTGCATATACAGAAACAAAAAATATACTAGTGGTTGCCTGGGGTAAGGGATGAGGACGAGAATTAACCTACTGTAAATTGGCTTGAGGGGTCTTTGAGGTGGCAAAGATGTCCTAAAACTAGATCATGGTAATGGTTTCACACTTGGTAAATTTATCAAAAAAAGCTATTAAACTATATACACTTAGAATCGGTAAACTTTTCGGTGTATAAAATTGTACCTCAGTAGTTATTTTAAAAATGGTGATGCTAATTATAGAAAGAGAATCTAATTAGAAATAAGGATACTTGATTTGATAAATTAAAGACATAAACCTACCATGCACTCAGCATTCTATCAGATACTTTGAAAGATGCAAAAGTACAAGAAAGTTTTAAGAGCTGGCACCCAAGCTGTAGGCAGTATGGCCAAAATATTTTCCAGGGTGTTAATAAAGTACTGAGATAGAGCAAATACCACTTCCTATCCTGTACCTAAAGCAGGTGCTTTTTCTCACAGACCTGTACCACAGCCTCACACAGATCACCCTTCCCAAAATTGCATTGCCCTAATCCTAAGCGAGTTACTTGACTCATCTATCTAACCAATGTCAAGCAGTTTTGTTTTGTAGAAACATTTAATATTTTATTGCACCAAAATCCCTAAATTGCTTTCTTGGAGACAGGTAAATCTATTATACCAAAGAACAATTTGACTGAGATTAATCTGAATTTTCACTACCTCTTAACATTTGTGATTTTTTTCTTGGCACCCTGTCATCCAGTTGTTTAGCACCAGGAGGCAGTAGTTGAATTCAACAAGTGTTTCTTGAGCACATACTATAATGAGGGCTTTCTGAGGATAGCAAGAAGCTCATAATCTAATTAGGAGGGAAAGAATCAGAGGGCCTAGATAACCTATATTTTATATAGTAATCCCTAGAGCTGTTTGCATTGTAACGAGTTCATGTATTTAAAGTATATGGCTACAGTGCCTGTTACATAAGTCATTAATAATGTCCCTATTTCTCTGTTTCAGGTATCCAAACTATTGACTCAACCCAGGCACTGTTCCTTCCAATTGGAGCATCTGTCTCTCTCCTAGTAATGTTCTTCTTCTTTGACTCAGTTCAAGTAGTTTTTACAATATGTACAGCAGGTAAATGACTATTTTTAACATTAATGTAAAGAGAAATTTCTTCATCTTTTCTTAGCATCATTCAAAAATTAAGATTTATGCACCATGCCATGCAAGTCTTTCTTCGTAAGTCTGGCTCTGCTCCCACCCCCACCTCCTTGAACCACTTGGTAATTTGTATTGTTAGGCCAGATCTGCCAACACAACCTGAATGGAAAGGCCAGGGGTTTGAAAATTCGTGAGCTTTATGACAACACGGAAGATCACTTTGGCTGTGGTTCCTTGTCTGGTAGGTTACCAGAGGGTTCAGTTTGGCAGTGGTCATTGGCAAGCCCTACCGATGTTTCTGCAGATAGAAACATCAAGAGCTAACCACAGCAATTCAACTGTCAGCTCTTCTAGTTTTCAAGCTAAACGATGATGGAAATGTTTAAAACATCAACAAAATTCTGGACTTGTTAGGAAATCTTCCCTTGGCCCACTATTTATCTTGTCTTGCTGAGATAGAACAGAATGAGAAAACCTACCCACACTTCCCTCTATTTCAAATCAAGTACTTTTTCTCGTAAGAGGTTGTCTGTGCAATGCTAAAGGAACTTGTTTTTCTTCTCTAGTTAATGTAATTTTATCCACCTGTTGAGAAAACTATTCTGGGCAATGATTGTTTCCGTAAGTCATGCCATTTTTCTTAATACTCAGTAAAAAAATAAATTTAACCATCATTTTTTTCCTCTAGTTCTTGCAACGATAGCTTTTGCTTTTCTTCTTCTCCCGATGTGCCAGTATTTAACAAGACCCTGTTCACCTCAGAACAAGTAAGGATTTGGCTTTTTCTCTAAATTATAAATTGGTTTTTTTGTATACTTAATAGCATTATTAGAATTTTGTTATTGGTATTGACTGGCACACACAAACCCTAGAAGACTGGAAAGTGAGATGTTTTGATCTTTAAAACTAGAAGGTAATGCTTCCTTTTGTACCTTTTCATAGCAGAGGAAATGTGAAGGAATCTGAGTAAGTCAGAGTCATTGTAGTAGGCTTCCTGCTTAGGTCATTGAAAGATGAGCAGCTTTCTTTTGAAATAACACTTTCATTCCTTTACTGGTGAGTTAATGGAATATGAAAATAGTGATCTCAAACATTCTTCTGGGCCTTTCATCTTTGGTTACCTGGAACATATGCTAGCCACTTAGCTTTAATCCCAGTGTTCACACCTTGACCCCTAAGCCTTTGCTCACAGAAACAAAATGCCATGTTAACTGAGATGCTAAGTGCACTTCAGAAACCAGTCACTTGGGGCAGCTGATTTTTTTCCTAGGAATTAGTGATAACCAAGACTTACCATCATTATAAATAATTTTAATCTTTGCTAAATGAATTGTTGACTTTCTTCATGTTGTTTTCCTCATAGCAGTAGAATTTCCCCTATACTAAGATTCTCCAAAAATTGATATTGTCACTTTAAACTTCTAAACACCCATATTGATAATAAAAAGTACTTTACCAAATGGGTGCAGAAGCAGAATTGATCTAAGCTTTCTGTGGCTTACTTCAAAGAGGTTTGGGTATTTTGGATTCCTCAGTAGGTATTGCCTAATATCCTAATCTGTTCATCGTGAACTCTGATCATGAAGAACCTAAGAAGAGTTTGGTTATTAAATATAATTTATCGCCCATTAGTCCAGCAGGTGTTGTATTTTCCAGGATTTCCTTTGGTTGCTGTGGGCGTTTCACTGCTGCTGAGTTACTGTCGTTCTCTCTGTCTGTCATGCTCGTCCTCATCTGGGTTCTCACTGGCCATTGGCTTCTCATGGATGGTAAGTAATTATGTGACAAGTTGAAATTTTAATATAGTTTATAGGTAACTACATTAGTCCTTCCTTCCTCTACTTTCTGTATTTTAGTAGTGTAACCTCTGATTACTGTGAATATTAGGTGTCCAAAGATGGTGTTATGTATGGAATTTATTATTTTATCCACACACATTCTTAAGATATTTTTTAATAATAGCTTTTTTGCCTTATAATTCATATACCATACAGTTTAACTATTTGAAGTGTACAGTTCAGTGGGTTTTAGAATATTCAGAGTTGTGCAACTGTCACCACTATCAATTTTAGGACATTTTCATCACCTGCCCTCTGAAGCCCCCACCCACTAACAGTCCCTCCCTGTTACCCTGACACCAGCCCGTCATCCTCTTATCTACCTCTTTCTCTGTGGATTTACCTCTACTGGACAGTCCACTTAAATAAAATCATATGTGACCTTTTATGTCTGCCTTCTTCACTTAGCATAATGTTTTCATCCATGTGGTACCTGTATCAGTACTCCATTTCTTTTTATGGACAAATGCTATTGACTTGTATAGATATACCAATTTTATTTATCCATTCGTCATTTTTCACTTTGTTGGCTATTGTGAGTAATGCTGCTATGAACATGTATACATACTTTTGTGTAGATTATAAATGAGATTATACTATAACATACATACTATATATGAATATACATGTAGAATATAATAGATTCCATATGTGTGTTATATATGAAATACAATAGACTCCTTTTCATATAGTGATATACATGCCTATATCATTGCATTAAGGTATATCTTAACTTTTTTAATAGTTCTGGAGTATTCCATGGTATGTATTATTCAACTATTTCTGGATCCTTAGATTATTTTTAATCTTTTTCTATTACAAGTAACCATGAGATAAACATTCTTGTTCCACCTCTTGGTAGGCATATCAGATTACTTAGTAAGATTATCTCTAAGGATGAATTCCTAAATAGGAAATTTCTGGGAAAGGGGTTTTGTATGTAAATAATTTCATATACTGCCTTTTAGAAATGCTGTACCTAGTGTATGCTCCTGCCTGTAGCATATGAGACTTTGCCTTCACTGATGATGAAAGTGATGAAATAATAATGGCAATAATAGCTAACATTTATTGAGTGCTTTTTATGCATGGGCACTCTGCTGGGAGTTTTATGTGGATTATCTCATTTAATCCTGAAAACTTTTTGAAATAGGTACCATTATTCCTGTTACAGAAGAGGAAGGAACAGGTTCAGAGAAGTAACTAAACAAGTCACAGAATTCCCATGTACATTTCATTCTATCAAAACGTCTTGGTAGGACATTTCCAGAAGACCTCATTATTCTTCTGTTCTCTCCCTTATGACATTTTTTAACTCTTCTTTATTTAACCATGTAAACCCCCTTACCTTCTTTTTCTTTCACTCCCTGCTCTCATTTTCAGTTTGCTTTCCTCACCTCAAGAAACCTTTAACTGCTGTGCCCCACAAAGTTTGTTCACTTTTTCCTTTCTTTAGGTGTTTTTAGAAGGGAAAGAAGTTAAAACACAAACATCAGTTTTATATGATTCATAATACTATCTAAAGAATTTTTAAGGGCAGAATTTGAAAATGAGATTATGGGTATGGATGGCACTTAGTCCTGTTGTACATTCTAAGCAACCACAAGGCTAATCAAGACCTTGGAAACAGAGCTTTGGAAGCAACTGCAGAGTCTGAGAGGCTCCCCTCCTCTTTGCTGACACTGAGCACCTGCAGCTCCGTGGATGGCTTGGGGTTGGAGGGAGTCGCCACTCAGTGCAGTCTGAGCACAGAGCACCCAGAGTGATGCTTACTCTCAGTCTCAAGTGCAAGAGTAGCTAAGTCATTCAGACAACTTTTAAGTACCACAACAGTAGGCTACATAGTCTTTCTAGGACTGATCTTGTTTGCTGAATAGTATTTGGTACACAGTTGAGGAATTTCTTAGTAGTGTTTTTTAAATTTTTTTTAAAAACAAAAAATCTGAATTAGGTCAAAATCAAGGATATTCTGGTCATGGTCAAATTGGGTAGAATTCGACAAAAAAAGATTTTAAACTGTATTTTTTTCTGTGATCTAGAATCAGTAGTACAGTCTTAAGGAATTTTAAACCTTAAGGAAAACAAAAAACTTAACCTTCTGTTTCAAGGGATTTTTTTTTCTTGTAAGTTACTTTGACCAGTTCAAGGATTTGACATTGGTATATGCCCAGTTAACTAGTGAAAAACTCTTAAGAAACTGAATGTTTTGAGGGAACAAACTATAATGTAGACTAAACACTCTGTAAAATTATGTTTAAGTAGCATGTTGTTTTAATCTAAGGTGATAATTATAAAAAAGCACTTTTACTATTAGTATGTCACTAAAAAAGAAAAGGTTGGCATGATGGAAGGTGACATTCTTTTCTAGATTAACTGGATCTACACAGCCATCTGAAACAGGTTCAAGTTGGTCAGGCAGAATTTTCTTCATTGTATGTCTACAGAGTGGGGTTAGGCTTATTAGACTCACTAAAGGAAGGCTGGGATAAGCAGCTCTCGTTGAGATACATTAAAAGGTCCATTTCTTTCCCTTAAACTCTAGAGTTGATGGAAAATTGACCATAAAGGACAAACTTTATTTTCCCAGTGACATATATCAGAAATACATTTCCATTGTGAAGATTCACCTAATAGTTGAAATTTTTTCTAAGTTTTCAGGAGGCTCCCCCTAAACCTGAAGTAGTACACTTTTACATCAATTTCTATCATTATTGCTATGTCCCAATATTTACTTGTCCAAGGATCTCTTCTTCCTAGTAGTTTGCACTTGTTAAACTGCCCTTGTGACCAAGTATATAGATTTTTCCCTCAAAAAAAAAAAAAGTGCATTTTAACATTTTAATTGTTTCTCAGACTAGTGTTGGATGTGTATTTGACTTGTTTTCTGCTGTTACAGAAAATGTAGCTTCCTAGGCATGGTCTTAAACATTCTGAAATACATTCTTCTTAGCCATGGAAAGAGTCTTTCTGGACTTCTCTGCAGGATCAGAAATTATCTTGTAGATAGTGATAATTTGGTAGTAGCATTTTTCAAATGAGTGTTTCTTAATTAAAGCCTGTTCTTTGAAGTTAATTTAAGAGCGAAAACAGAATAAACGTGGTTGTTTTAGGGCAAGGCATGAGGTATATTTTCAAGATTATATTGAGAAGCATTAATACTAAGAAGGGACTTCACAGAATTTTTAGCTAAATCTAGAGCTCTTTTAATGTACTTTTAGTTTCATCTGGCACATTAACATTTTAAATTTGTAAAAGCTTGAAAGGAGATAACAATAGGTGGTGTGATATGTTAGCTAAAAGCTGATGAATCTTGTGTGCACACACCTAGTGTCCAAGGATCATTGAACGAGGTTCAGTGTGCCTGCCCTGACGAATTCAGGGAGTAGGAGAGGCTTGACAGATGTCTAACCCAGCCCCCTCATTTTATGGCACTTAACTACTAACCTATGATTAGAGCATGTTCAGTGTCAGAAATCTGGCGATTGATTTTTTTCTTGTTTTAAAACGCTAGGCTCTGGTGCTTAGTCCACATAGGGCTTAGCAGTCCGCAGATCTTTGTCTCTGTCTTAGCACTGCTTAAGACCTTACAGGTTACATAATCCTTTTTGAGAACATCTTAGCTCAGTTTGGTGTCATTGTCTTTGTCCCTGGCCCTATTGGTTGTGGAAGACAACATGATACATATATAGACTCTGTCAATAATAAATTGAAAGTAATTACAGCCAGGTGGCTAAAATTAATGATTTACTTCCCTAACACTTTTGGTTAATTTATATTTCACCAGAAGTTAAGTGTGTTGATAAAGCTATTAGGGAGAGTCTTGGGAGTATCTCCTGCAGCATGGAGCAAGGGAAACATACAACCTTTTCATTTTGTCTTGGAAAAGCCTTAAAGAAGAAGGTAAGATTTTAAAGGGTTACATAAATGAAAGAGTGAAGAAAAAGGAAGGCAAACCTCCATGAAGCGTTGAGTGTGTGCTTCGAGGTTATGTTGTAGCTTGTGGATATACTCATTGTGGGTAGGAGTGATTGACTTTTATTAAGAACCTTTTCTGAAAAAGTGAAAAGGGATGCATTCTGCCCCTTCAAACATGACAGTTAATTGTATAGTAGGGAGACCTGGCTGGCATGATTGGAAAAGAGGTATTGCTTAACTTGGATGAAGAAGAGGGAAGTAGGTTGAAAAAGAGGAACAAAGGACGACATACCCCAGGGCCCCAAGGTATGCCCAGTGCCAGACTGTGAGTTATGCCTGAGGCTGTGACACTTCATAATTAGACTTGATCCATCACAGAGTAGGGAACTAGTGACCTTAGGGCAGGAATTGACGAACTGACTTTTTACAGTGGCAGTGAAGAGTGAGTCGGAGAGAGAAAGAGAGCGAGAAAAAGTGGGAAAAGACACACATGAAATGGAACTGTGGGGAAGCATGACCAAGGTCTGCAGTAACAATAAAGAGTACCACCCTAGAGTGGCTGGAGATTGACTGTACATGACGAAAGACTGATAAATTGAAAATGAACTGAAGAGTTTCTTGTTTGGAAGATTAAGGGTAGAATGACATTATCTGGAGTCATGGAAAATTCTGTCACTGAGCAGTGTAGTCTGGTCCATGTTTGGTTTCAACCCAAGTGGACTAGGATTAGCATAAAATGAGTGACATAGCAATGAGTGGATGCTTAGACCACATGACTTGTAAAGGCTCCTGCCAATTTAGGATTGATTGCATGGCAAACTGAATAGAAAAGTTCTGAAACAAACCAGTCCCGTGCTGTGTCAGAGGCATATGCATTCACTGTGGAAACTTCCCTTTTGCTTGTCTGTCCATTTGATTTCCATACCACTTTGGGTTATCGTCAGTCAGCCCTCCAACCCTCACTGCCCACATATTCCTATCTCTTGTCTATCTTAGGCCTTCATTTCTTCTTTGTTTCCTTGATACTTTCTAATTCCATGTATTCACTTATTTGTAAGTTCCTGAATAGATCACCCTAGCCAGCATTTCTGCTGAAATATGTGTTTGACCAATTCTCTAGTGGTCAGTTCTACCCTTAGCCCAAGGGCTTTCCACCCACCACTGACCACTGTTATTCCTCAAGTCAACAGTTTACCCTGTGAGTATCCTATTTATTGACACACAATACAGCCAAACATTTGTTCCCTTAACTATACATTGTAATTATCCTTAAAGATAATTACAATGGAAAACCCTGCTATTTTAACAATGGGGTGTGGTTGATTAGTGAAAGAACTTTAAGTACATCTCTTTATGCCTTAAAAATTGTACTTCATCCTTGTGCACCTTGGAATGCTTCAATCTTTACAAAACCTAATTGACCCCTAACTAGTTGATACATTTCATTATATTCATTTCAGATGACATGAATTTGCGTACATTTTACCAGTTTGGCTTCATTTTTATGAATTTTTAAAAATTAAAGGAGACCCTAGTAAAATGAGTGTCCTAGGTTATTTATTATAAAGGTGGAATTATGTCTTGACCACAGCTTTCCAAAATCCACACAATGGAGCGCAGTGAATGCTCGATAACAATAATGACAGAAGGAATAGAGCTTTACCAGTTTTACTGTTGTCTTTCTGACCCTTTTCTTTGTGAGGATGGGAATGGTTTTTCTCCTCTTTTGTTTGTGCAACAGCATAACCACAGTAGGAACTCATTAAATACCAGTTGAATCGATGTGTGTAGGATATGCCAGATTGCTAAATTTTCCCACTTTGTTATACATATTTTCAGTTTACCACCAGTTCTATTAAAATGATGTACAGCTAATGTAGCTTTACTTTTCTTTACTTTCCTTAGAATAGTTTGAAATTTGAAGTTGGGAGAACATGATTTTTCATTCATTCAGCAAATATTGATGACTATATATATGTACATGGTCAGGTGTTAGGGCTCCACAGAAAGAATAAGCCATGGTTTCTGTCCACAGGAGCACCTAGTTTAGGGAATTTCCTCGCATATAATCACACTACTAAAGAACAGATAAATGAGAGAGATTCAAAGTTCTGTGACCTCTCATCACAAAGAAAGAATAAATTAATTTCATTAGACTAGGAAAGACTTCCTGAGGGAAGGGCCTTCTGACCCAGGTCTTTAGGAATGAGATGGCTTGTCCAGTGAAGAAGCCCAGGATAGGACCTTCTGTCAAGCATGAAGAAACATAACAGTGTTGAGTGGTATGATCACATTTGAGTGGCTGGAGAATAGAGCAGCAGGAAGTGCATGCTGAGCACAGGGGCTGCCCAAGGGAGAATGCCCACCTGTACAGCCCTGCCAGGGCCTGGCCAAGCTGTTTGACTTTCATCCTGCTACACCAATAACTCACAGAAAGTTTGTAAGCAGTTATGTGGCCTAATCTGACCTTTGTTTTCAGAAGAACGAGGAGAATGGCTGAAGGCAGGAAGAGATTGTTCATCTGCCAGGCTTCTTCTAGACTCCAGGGATGCAGCAGCGAACCATACCCTCAAGAAGCTTACATTTTATTTGAGAGGAGACATTTTTTTCTTTAAATATATTGTATGTCAGATTTTGAGAGGTGCAGGAAAAATGAATAAGGCAAGGACAGAGAGAGAGGAGAATGAACTGCTGGAACAATGTCCTTGAGTAAATGAAAGGGGATGCGATGTAGGGTATGAGTTGATTTTGAAAGAGCAAGGATGACACGTATGAGTTGATTTTGAAAGAGCAAGGATGACACACCCTCAGTAATGGGGAGAGGCAGGAAATGAGAGCTTGGAGGTCCTGAACTGAGCCTGGTTTGGAGCTTTATCAGCCCAAATAGAGGATCTCCTGGGTCTTACACAGTTGAGCACTATCTAAAGCAGGAGAAAAGGGATCTCCCTAGATACCAGCAGCAGGTCAAAATGGGCTGGAGTGGGCACTTTGCACTAATAGGGTGTAAATGTCTTAAACTGGAGCTTAGGGCTGCCTGATTTTTGCAGGGACTTACAAATTCTGTTAGGTTTGTGCCTGTAGAATAGCTTGTGGAGAGAGGATGAAGCCTCTACTCCACACTGACCACTACCTATTGTCTCCTCCCAGCCCTGGCCATGGGTCTCTGTGTTGCCATGATAGCCTTTGTCCGCCTGCCCAGCCTCAAGGTCTCCTGCCTGCTTCTCTCAGGGCTTCTAATCTACGATGTCTTTTGGGTAAGTATGTTTCCCAGAAGCCACTTCTCTCCTTTATGTTATTTGCAGTATTCACTCCTGAAAATTGTTAGCTCTTAAGTATCTAGAATCTGGCTGGCCAGCCTATGGGAGTACCTCCCATCTAAGACCACTCCCTGGAGTCCTGAGCAGGCAGCTTCCCTGGCCTTTGTTTGCTGAGACATGATACAATAGATAGTGCAGGTGTCTTAAGAGCAGGAGAAGCAGCAGGCAGAAAACGTTCATTGCCCTGGGAATTAAGATTTGCTTTCTCAAAGCGTGCAGTCAAAAAAACATGATGTTGCAGTATTCTGAGGCTCTGCTCTTAAGATGCTGGGTTCCTCCCAGCACCCTCTGTTAAAGGCATCTCTCCACTCTACAGGTGTTTTTCTCTGCCTACATCTTCAATAGCAACGTCATGGTGAAGGTGGCCACGCAGCCGGCTGACAATCCCCTTGACGTCCTATCCCGGAAGCTCCACCTGGGGCCCAATGTTGGGCGTGATGTTCCTCGGCTATCTCTGCCTGGAAAACTGGTCTTTCCGAGGTAGGACTGACCTGTCAGGCCTCATTTGTGATGAATGCACTGCCTTCCTGGGCCTCTGTTCCTTAACTGGTCAGTCTTTGTCATCAGCATTCTAACCCTAGACTGGAAAAGTGCTGTGAGTCATCGTTCTCCATTTTAGAGATGAGGAAGAGAATTGACTTGCAAAGGTTTATCATTCAGTGATACAGGAGCTTTTTATCACTGATTAATCTTATCCAACAGCCATATGTTACTGTTTGCATATTTTAAAGGTGGCTGAAAAACAGCAGAGTCTGGGTCTTTTTACTTCTAAGACATTTGTAAAAATTTGTCTGAATGCTAAAGTTATACAGATCTGGTAAAATAATTTTGGAAAGCTTAAATGTGCTGTAGTCAGGTGCTTGTTTGAAGTCCAGCTGTGAATGTGTGAAAAATACTGAGTTGCCTGACATTCCTGGAGGTGGCAGTCCTCAGCAGATACCTGAGCAGCCACCTTTGTGGTGCTGTCCTGAGCACTGAGGAGCCTGTCTGAAGACCTCTGTTGCCAGGACTTTTTGGCTTTTAATCTCTAAACTCTTAAAACTAGTGTTGTTCAACTACTAGAGGTTTCCTTCCACCATTCAGAAAAGTTCTTTGACTTCTTAAAAAGCTGACAGATTTTGCAGAGGCAGAGGAGTGGAGTTGTAACTGGTGGCCTCCCTGATGTGTGACTCTGCGTTCCAGCTCCACTGGCAGTCACTTCTCTATGTTGGGCATTGGGGACATCGTGATGCCTGGGCTCCTGTTGTGCTTTGTCCTTCGTTATGACAACTACAAAAAACAAGCCAGTGGTGACTCCTGTGGCGCCTCTGGACCCGCCAACATCTCTGGACGCATGCAGAAGGTCTCCTACTTCCACTGTACCCTCATTGGGTACTTTGTAGGTAAGAACCAGAGAGGCTGCATGTAATCCTCTCTCTAGCTGTCCTCCAACACCCAGAATTAAATCTGATCTTGTAGCTGCAGACGCTTGATGGAAGGAGAGAGAACTCTGTAGTAGACAACCATGAAGAAAAAACAGACCACTGGCCCATGAGATAATTGAGGCTTTCTCTACAGGCCAGCCCTGTTCCCTAACAATATGCCTGAATATCACAGGAAGAGTATGGTGAGGCCTTGAAAGTCGAGAACACCTGCCATACAATGATCATGGATCAATCTGTATGCTTAATTGTATCTTCAGCTTGAGTTTAATGAATGGCATGTTTATATCCTACTTGAACAGATCCTTCCCTTCATTTGTTCTAACATGTCTGTCACCTGACCTCGGTCTCTCCCTAGGCCACTGTCCCTAGCTAGCTCACTTACAGACAGACAGGAAGAGACCACTGTATGGGGCATAGGAATAGTAGCCACCTGCTTGCATCTGTAGCAGCGACAGCAGAGTATGTGGATCAGAACACCTCTCACCAGCATGCCTCTTACTTAACACTGTCATTCACTAATTCCACAGGACTTTCATGTGCATGGGTTCATTTCAGTTCAGGAACTCAGAGGAGCAAGGCAAGTGGTGCTACCCCATTAGACAGGTGAGGAGCCAGAGGCTCAGGGAAAGGACATGTTATAACCAAGGTTACATAGCTATCATGTCACAATTAGCATAGTTGGAACTTGAATCTAGGTCTTTTCATCTCCAAGTCTGGCATCACATACCACAGGCGACAGAGGGAGGCCAAGCACACTCAGAGCAGAGGTGTGAGGGCTTGGACCTGGAACTGGAGCACTGCATGGGGCTTGGCCACTCATAGGTCCCTGGCGTTCTGGGCTTGTGGAGCTGGGCACTTCACGTCCTACCCGTTGGATGGAATATGTCACATTAGAGCTGTGACATCAAGACCTACCAAGAAGGGCCAGGTAACAGAGGTTTTCCTCTCCCAGGACTGGCTGTGGTTATTCACTAATGTCTCTCTCATAGGTCTACTCACTGCTACTGTGGCATCTCGCATTCATCGAGCAGCCCAGCCCGCCCTTCTCTATTTGGTGCCATTTACCTTATTGCCACTCCTCACAATGGCCTATTTAAAGGTGAGAGAAGCTGTTCTAAACCTATGAAAACAGTACCTTGGCATTGACCTGGACTTAGTTATGTATTCTGCTTGCTAGTAGTTCTGCTGAAGCTCCTGAGCTCTTTATCTTGACACTGGGTTGGTTGATTTTTGCTAACCTGATATTCCATATTCTTAACAGCCACTGGCAGCAAATGCTAGTGAGTGAGACCACTAATTGTCTGGTCACGGATTAATAACTAAGATTCCTGGAGTTCAACTTGCAAGACTGCCTGATTCCCTTAAAAGTAGCTTCCTAACAGCTCTTTTAATACTCTGCACCAAAGTTTGGAAATAATTAAATATATGATAAGAAAATAGACTTGGAGCATTCTCTGATTTACAAGAGTTGTATTATCCTCCCCATTTTACAGATGAGGAAACACAGAGGTTAATTAACTTCCCTAGACCATCTGACATGATCGTAAGTGATAGAATTTACACCAGGATAGAATTGCAAAAGCCCTTCCCTGCTCAAGGGGCCTAAAAGCTCTTCTAGTGAGGTCTTCAAAGAATGATGGGTTACTTTTCAGTGAGTAAAATTTGAATGTTCCTTGATTCTCTGTAGAAGCAATCTGATCTGACATCAAGAATCATAAAGGACTTGTAGAGATGTGTGCCTCATGTTTAAATCTGTTAACTTCAATCTTTCCCAGGGTGACCTACGGCGGATGTGGTCTGAGCCATTCCACTCCAAATCCAGCAGCTCACGATTCCTGGAAGTATGATGGATCCCAGAGAGTGAGCAGAATGGCCATCTTAGTCCCTTCCTGTCAACGCGTGGTTTTGTTTCCTCTTAGAGCCAGCCCGGTACTCAGAGATCTACCTGTTTATGGAACTGACGTGTGACTGAATTTCCATTTGCAGGGAGCTTGTTTGCAGGAGCGAGGTGCTGGAACCCAGCTTCGTTCCCTCTCTTCCTACCACTGGAGAAGGGGAGCCCCTCCTGAGGTGACACGCCCTCCCCCACACTCCTTCTCCCCCATTTTTATGGATCTGCACCAGACTGTTACCTGTGGGGGATGGAGATGTGACTATTTAAAACTGACAACGGCAAGGAGTTGTTCCCTACCTTTTGAACACTAAACGGATGAAAAACATTAGCAAAGCGAAGTTTCTTCAGTGAACCCTCAAGAACTTTGGGACCAGTTTCCTGTGGGGGACTCAGTTTCTGAGAACTGAGACAGAGCTCTTCTGTCATTATATTCTTTCCTTTTTTTGGATTTATTAAATATTTTCTGTGGTGTGAAATGACTTATTAAATCCACAGACATTGAGTGACTTCTTACAACATATACATAAGAACTTGTTGTAATGAGTTCATGTCCACCCAGATGTCATGTTGGCAGTGAATGAGGGCATGGTTTTTATACATACACACACATGTGCGTGCACATAGATATATATGAATAAACAAAATAAAAACTGCTAAGATCATGCTGTGTAGCAGACAGGGACTTGCTGTAATTTTTAGCATGTAGAGCAGTTACTCTGGCTTCCTTGTATATGGATAAGCTGCTGTCTTCCCCTCCACAACTGAACGTGCAGTTAAAAACCAGTATAGTATTTGTACTGATATACTCATGGACTTCAGGGGACACCCATTTGGTTTTGGTCAGTGTAGCAAATTAGGGATGAAACATTAAAACTTTTTGGCCCTTCTTTTGTTTCTACAGTCTTCTCCCTTGCAGGGTTTTTAGTAGTTTCTTCTTGAACCAGTGCATGTATTATATAGCAGCAGGTGTCTTTGTGCTTTCTGATCATAGTAATGTACTACTTGTAAATACATTTTTCTATTTTCTATTTTTTTGTGATTTTTTTTTTGGCATTTGATTTCACTGGTGTGCTGTATCTTTCCATGCCCTCACTCCTTTAAGGAAAAAAAAGCAACATAATCCTGTCCTTGCTGTTGTGATTATAGTGTTGGTTTACCTGTGCTGACAGCTGCATATTGGGGACAAATGTCAAATGCCCTTCTGAAATGAGCCCTGCATTCCAGGAATGGCAGAAGGAACGAGCTGCTCTGTCCCCTTAGATCTGACCATGTGCTGTGGTCTGTGTTGGAGAGGCAGCGGCTTTCTGGTAGTAAGTAGGTGATAATGTCAGCTTGCCTTTATCTGTGCAGCCTCTGCCTGACCAAAAATTACCCCTTGTTCAAAGGCAGAGAGAAGCCTGGATACCTGATGGCACGCGCTGGTGAAGGGCCTGTGTGTCCTGCTTCCTCATAAGCAGGTGACCTGCCTTTGCCTTGCCCTGTGTAAAAGCTGTGGTGCTTTGGTTCCCGTTGTGTGAAGTCACTGAAGCTAGTGCTCACAGACGGTGCACAGTGAGTTTTCAAGGGAGTGTGAGGGGGTGGGGGTGGTGCACTTCTCTGTTGTGTCTTCAAATCCTGCTGAGGGCTGTTTTGTTTTTTGTTTTGTTGGTTCTTTGGGGATTTTGTTTTTGTTTTTTAAATAAATGACTCCTTTCTAGCCTTTGTCACCCCATCTTCACTTTTGGTTGTTGATACCAAACAGTTGATAACCGTCACCTATCACCTGCACTGCCTGTTCCATAAGACTGACAGGAAGACCCTGTCCGTCTCCAGATGGGGTCACTTGCAGCTCTCATTTAGTCCTAGAGATGTCAGAGAACGGAAGTTTCTGTTTTCCAAACAAAGTGCTCATGTGCTCACTATTTACCAGTTGTACTTCTTTCTTAGCCCTTGGGGACACTAATGGCTAAATGGGGTTGGTGGGGGAGTCTTTCAAAATGACTCCAAATAGGGGCGAGTGCCAATAATAGTTAGAAATATTATCATGGCATTTGGTCGTTTTAATTTTATCTTTCTGTTAAAAAAAAAAACTATTCCGGACAAGAAAGAATGTGATTTTTTTTGTCATTCTTCTCTGCAGGTTTAGAGAGCAAAGTATCCACATGGGACTCCTAAATGTAATTTCAATTCCAGCTGCTCTTAAAACTTTGGCAGAGGAACTGCAAATATTCCTTGTTTAAAATTAACCACAGCAGATACTAGAATTCCCCCTGTTCTGGAAGTACAGTGCTCTTTTGATGGGGGCAGGGTTGGGGGTGACTCAGTTAAAGCACGTGCTTTCGATTCTCCCTGCGGTCTCCCCCCTTCCCTTCCACCTACCTGATATGTCCGTATTTTTTCTGGTTTCTCAGATACTCTGAGTTTTGCAGTTTTCTATCTAAGAAGGCTTTTGCTTTAGCAAGGCATGTTTACAAAGTTCCAGGGTGAACCCCCTTCCTTCCTCAGTGGTCTGAGGTTCTTCCCGCAAAATAGACTGCATGTTGGAACTCTTGTGTATTTATAGTAACTTTCTTTTAACTTGAGCTAATGAAGATATGACAGCAAAGTTTATCCCAAGCCTAGCATGTTCCATTGCTATTATTACAGCTTATGCCTTTTCTGAATAAGATAGCTACATAACTGTCTGTATACGAACAGGGCAAACCAGGACTGGGGGACTTAGCGGGGTAGGTACTATCTGAATTCCCTTTGTAGCAGGCCAGCACAGGCCTTGTTTAAACAGGTAAGTTATGTTATCCACAAGAACAACAAGTTACTTCTTTGTTAAGGGTGGAGGGAAGGGAGTTCTGTTTTGTTAATAAAGTGTTAAAAATAGAATCTGTGGTGTCTGCATAGCAGTGTTCATATTACTGCTAACCAGATCCAGAGCTGTATTGTAGACATTTGTGTTCTGTAAAGCCTAACATTTAGGTCAGAGCCTTGGAATGTAGCAGTTCTGCATCTACAAGTATACTCATCAACAATGTCCACTGTGCAATTCTCTGTAGCAGCAGATGAGACCGTACAGGCTCAGAAGGGAATCAGCCGGCCCTACCTCTGGTCTCCAATGCCTACTGGCCTGGACAATGTCCTTCACTAAATCACATTTCTTTGGCAATTTGCAACAGTGAAACCACTTCAAGAACAATGGTTCCTGTTCCTAACACAGATGTCAGCCTTGCCACAGGAATTTGTACAGAACTCTGCAAATCAGGCAGAACTTGGGCCTCTTCTGAGAGGGATAAGTCAGGTAAGAATTTTTCTTTATCCGTAAGTTATTTCCATTCCTTTGCAACATAGACTGCTTTCTGTTGGCAAGACTTTAAACTTCGTCAGATTCAGATTCCACGTATGTGTTGATGGGAGGAGGGGTTCTCCCAGAACAATACTTTCCATACTCCTTTTGACTATGTCAGCCTTTCCTGTCCATGTGAGGTAAGTCAGTCATGATTCAACTTAAGCTGTTGGGCACTGGTGCTTCAGTGAACAAAACCAAATACCCTGCCCCTACTCCAGAAGTCCAGTGCAGGACATGCCATGTAGCAGCACTGAGCTCAAGGAGAGGCAATAATAATTAAGCAAAAGCATTTATTTGGGATCAAAGAATTGTATTTCGGGGAATACAGATTGGGTAGCAACCCAAATAATGCCCTACTAAGGAAGAAATGTCTTTAAAAACAAAAAGGGGATGTTTGTAGATGTTGATTACAAAGGACTTTCCGTGTTGGCAGAAAACAATTAGCTACAAAGGCTGTCACAGAGCAAAAGTCCATTACTGTAGCAAGTTGCAAGTTGTCTGTACAGAGTCCTTAGAGTATTTGTGGTTTGGTCCAGTTCAGAAGTTAACAGTTACACCTTGTGAGGACATAAGTCTGACTCCTCTATCTTCAAACCCCTTGACATATGTGACTCCATTTTATTTCACCTTTCATAGTGACACAGCTCTCTGCCATGGTTCTGGGCGTTGCTGTAACTAGCAGAGGCATAACTGGGAATGCTCTTACAAAGGACTGGATGTGCCCAATTTAAGAGAAGATTGAAAAGCAGGGTTATAAATTCTTACTCCAGCAGAAGCCCAGTGCTCCTGATGGACACAGGCCAGCATCTGACCAAATGTGTAAATGACACATGAAAGCACCAAGCACACTGCCTCTGCAGCACTGCTCACAGTCTTTTTACTGAGAGCCAGCAGGTAGCAGGCACTTAATCTAAATGTCCTACAGGTCAGTTGTGGAAATTCTGATCTTACAGTGCTTTAAGCAGTGATTAATTTGTTTTCTGCTTAGTCACTGAAGTTCCAAGAAGGCTGTTCCCTGCTGAGTAGAACATGTAAAACTTGCCACTGGTTTGCAGGTGAACAGAGGTCCTGAGGGGTTCCTGAAATGGAAGAGTCCATGAGCTTGCTCTAGCCCCGTCTGAGGCCTGGGACTCTCACTAGATCCAAAAGATAGAGAAACTGGTTAGGGAAAGGAAACAAGGCAAGACTGGGAGTCAGAAAATATGCCAAGCCGTGGGCCATGGGCTTTGCCTTGTGAGGAATTAAAGACAGGAAGTGGGTGTTTAAAGGACAAATTGCTAAAGAGGGCAGGGCAGCATCGTGGCCCTGTGCCAGCATTCCAGTCCCAGGATTCTGAGTACCAGTCCTCGCCTTGTGGAACAGACTTGATCCAGGCAAGTTCTCTTCTAATGAGACAGTTCACTTTGCCTGCCGGGATTTCCTGGGGCACAGCAAGTGCATGCACATAACTGATAGCCTTTGTAGTTGAACCTTCCCTCACACCTCCAATCCCTGTTGTGGCTTGACTATTGGGGTTTTTCCTCAGGAATATAGTAGCACTTCCTAGGGAACTGCAGCACTGCTCACAGTCTTTTTACTGAGAGCCAGCAGGTAGCAGGCACTTAATCTAAATGTCCTACAGGTCAGTTGTGGAAATTCTGATCTTACAGTGCTTTAAGCAGTGATTAATTTGTTTTCTGCTTAGTCACTGAAGTTCCAAGAAGGCTGTTCCCTGCTGAGTAGAACATGTAAAACTTGCCACTGGTTTGCAGGTGAACAGAGGTCCTGAGGGGTTCCTGAAATGGAAGAGTCCATGAGCTTGCTCTAGCCCCGTCTGAGGCCTGGGACTCTCACTAGATCCAAAAGATAGAGAAACTGGTTAGGGAAAGGAAACAAGGCAAGACTGGGAGTCAGAAAATATGCCAAGCCGTGGGCCATGGGCTTTGCCTTGTGAGGAATTAAAGACAGGAAGTGGGTGTTTAAAGGACAAATTGCTAAAGAGGGCAGGGCAGCATCGTGGCCCTGTGCCAGCATTCCAGTCCCAGGATTCTGAGTACCAGTCCTCGCCTTGTGGAACAGACTTGATCCAGGCAAGTTCTCTTCTAATGAGACAGTTCACTTTGCCTGCCGGGATTTCCTGGGGCACAGCAAGTGCATGCACATAACTGATAGCCTTTGTAGTTGAACCTTCCCTCACACCTCCAATCCCTGTTGTGGCTTGACTATTGGGGTTTTTCCTCAGGAATATAGTAGCACTTCCTAGGGAGGGCAGAAAACAGACTTCAAAAAGGAGGTTGAGGACTTTCTAGTACAGGGAGGAGCGCCCCTTGTTGGCCTTTAAGAGGTTGAAGCATTCTACAGATGAGTCATGGTTGTATTGGCCTGACAGTGGTGAAAACAGTGCCATCTTCCCCAGGGCTGGTAGCAAGTGGGATCACTCCACACTGGCCAGGGGCCCTGGCTCTTCAACAGCCACTGTTGCCATTGGACATTACCTCGTGGGTCCTCACTGAACTGTCAGCCAACAGGCCCTCCCTTGCTGCCTCACGGGACGCAGAGGGTGGGGACTCAAAGACAACAATTGCCAAAACTGAGATAGGAGGAGAGTTCTGATTTGCCAGTAGAGCAGCTAAAACTACAAAATTGAGATGTCTTAAGCACAGAAATGATACTTAAAGCCTTAGGGGGAATATACACAAGGGAATATATCTCAACAGTGAAAGGTAGGAAAATTGCTCCAACATTCTGTGTTAGAGCATCTGTTAGCACTTATCCTCACAGCTACATGTGACCTGGGGTTAGTGACAAAGCTCCTCCAAGTCCTTCCTAGTTTTGTAATCTGGAAGGGGGACAGAGGTGCTTTATTTATTAAATGAACAGTAGACACTATTGTCTGTGGAGTTAGAATATAATGAATCAAATTTAAATGTATAAATATACTTTCATTGTTGAAATGACCACAGCTTCTGTAATCTTCCAGTTCATCACTGAGGAAACGGGTTATCCTTCCACTGTGAGCAGTGCAGGGGAGGCTAGTACTTGAATCCCAGTCTAGGCTTTCAAAACAGAGTGGATTCTGCATAGTAAGATCTTTACCATAAGCCTAGGCCAGGAGGGTCTTGATGTTTTCCTCTACACACTGACGGACTTGGTACAAAAAGGGGGTGATGAGTGAGCCAGTGTAAGAGTTTCCCACATCTGCATGCCCTGGGTTGTCTGGGCATCTCCTCTACTGTCACTGCTCCTCTGGAAGGACCCAGCAGTGTGCCTCACCCTAGTCATGTTTAAGAAGTGACTCCTAGAGCCTGTAGGTAAGACCTTCCTCAAGAGGTCAACTTGGGCCTTGTTTTGCAGCCCAAGCTGAGCAGAATTCTCGACAGAATTCTAAAGCTTGAAGTATC